CAATTAAGCAGCTAAATTTACTCAAACGCGCTGACTCTGTAAACTCCCCTCATAAAGACACAAACACGAGAAATGACGTGACTCGTTTATTCTCGCTCATGAGTCATACCCTCATTAACCTGCATCCTTCCTTAAAAATAAGCTGAACCAAGCAAAAAAAAAAAAAAAAAAGCCAGACGAATACATTAAATAAGGCTTCGGCGCATATCTGTAGTCAAAAACAGACAATATGAGCAGTGTGGTGCGGCGAGGCCTTCACTGACAAACAGATTGAGCACTGTGAGGAGATCACGTGCTGAAAGATCGCTGAGCAGCAAAATCCTATCTGACAATCAGCTGATGTGACCGCAGTCTCCACCAATGAGTAACAGTCTCAGGCTGTTAGGGAACAAGGCAGCTAAGTTAATATCTCTACTAACTAGTACTAAATATCCTGGAATTGCAGTCTGACCTAAACATAGAACTAAAACTGTGCAGAAGCCAGTTTAACCAAACCTGAAAGGCAACAAACATCTCACTGAGGTGACAACATCTACATTATGTTGCCTCACCTAAAATGTAAAGCCTTTAGAAACTATGTAACCATGTTACTTCTATTCAACTGTAAATTTTGTATTTCAACTAGCAGTAACGATCACAGTGCAACGCTAACGCCTGGAGGCTCAATCAGGACATGTTAGGCAGAGGTAGTGGAGATAATTCCTGACAAGGGGACTCTCTAAATTCACTGTAGAGAAAGAGGCTCTAGCTCAAGTCCTAATGAGAAGCCCAACAGAGGAAAGTTTCAAGCGACCAGAGACTGACAAGTAGGGAGTTTAAGAAGGAAAGGAATAATCACATAATTAGATCTCTCCTACTGGGCTCCTTGAAGAGTGGGGAAAAGGCATCATGTTGGCTTATTTTAAATGATCTAGCATGCAACACATCTGTTATGGTCAACATTACATAGGGCGACCGTGGCTCAGGGGGTTGGGAATCGCATCTGTAACCGGAAGGTCGCCGGTTCGATCCCTGGGCTCTCTGTCCTGGTCATTGTGTCCTTGGGCAAGACACTTTACCCTACCGCCTACTAGTGATGGCCAGAGGGGCCGATGGCGCGATATGGCAGCCTC